GTGCCGCGGCGGGTGCGTATCCAGCAGCCGCTTTGCCGCAGGAAGGCAAACGCGTCGCTTGCGGGTGAAGGGGGAGGAGAAGGAGGAGAATACGGGCGAGTGCGCCCCGTGCGCCCTCCGTGGGAGGACCGGCGCCTCGCGCGACGCACTGCGGAAGCGCATGGGCGTGACGCACGGTGGAAGCCCCGCTCGGCCCAGTTCGGCCGCGCCCGGCGCCAGCACTCTATTGAACTAATTTGCGATGACCGGGAAGAGGAGGGTGGGGAACTCGCGTCGAGGTTTTCTCGGCGAGAGGCGCGGCGTCTGCACTGCTTCTCTCCATCCTTGTCGCGGAGCGAACTCCAGACATCGATGCCGGCGGATTTTACAAGGAGGGTTCAAGGTGGGGAGAGGCGCCGTGGCTTGGAAGCGGCGTGGGTGAGGAGGCGCCGGGTCACATTTTATTCTGCTGCGCGTCCCTTGCGGCCCGGCGTGCGAATTTTTTTTTTTTTTTTGGGGGGGGGGGGGGGGGGTTCGAGGTGCCTGGGCTTCACTTTGGTTAGCCACTGGCTCGTGCACTTCGTGGCTGGCTCGGCCTGCGCGGCCCCCGGTGTTGGAAGCGCAACGCCCTGCCAAATCCGCTCGGAGTAGCGATTGTTAAGCTGGCCCTGCGGGGGCGTCGCGTTTTCGTTTGAGAAAGAAAAATTATAACTTTCAGCATAAAAAGTCGGGTTCCGCGCGCCATTTGCACGGGGCTCTGCTGTTGGTGCGTGCGGGCGGGCGTGCCCTGTGCTCCTAGTTGGCGCGCGGGAGCGCGAGAAACAACGGCAAGAAAAAAAGAAATGCGCAGCTCGCAGGTCACGGGCTTGGCCCACAAAAGCGAAAGCAAACAGCAAAAGCGGTGGGTGGACAAAAGTGAACAAACAAATTCCACGTGCCGCTTTCTGCGTGCGGACTCCCGTTCTGGCAATTGGCGGCGGCGTGGGCGCCCGGGTTTGGGAGCGAAAAACATTAGCAATGACAAAAAGAACGGCAGCACAGGCAAGAGACAAAACACAGCAGCGCTGGGGCCTCCCTTTGGCGCAGGTGCGCCACCTTTTTTTTTTTTCTAATTCGCCTCTCCGAAACCCGCAAAAGCCATATTTTCCCCGTTTTTTTTTCCTCTTTAATTGCCGCCCCTCTCCCCTATCTTCTTTTCTTGACTTTTTAGCCTCGCATCTGTTCGCATTCACTTCTTTAGATGCTTCCACATTGTGGAGCTGTTGTGGGCGTTGGCGGGCGGCTGCTCGAGGCGGAAGCGCTGGGCGCGTCGGCAGATAGTCCTCTTCTTCGCCGCTCGGCATTCCACCGAAGGCGCGCAGCGCGATGCGAACCCCGTCTGCATTCCCATAAACGCGGTCGGCGGCACCCCTTTCATCGCCCGCCCCTTCATTGTTGCCAGAGCATAATTCATCGAGACAGTCGTCCAAAAGGTCGTCGGCCTCGCTGTTTCGCTCCGGCACGGGCGCCGCCGCCCCTTCAAAGATGGAGCTGTCTGTGTCTCGCCGGTGCCGCGACAAGTATTCCGCGTGCCATGTAGAAAGGAAACCCGACAGGGCGCCCCGCATTAGCGACAGCATCTGCAAGAAGGGCTGGGCTTGGGCTTGGGCTCGGCTGTGGGTGGCGCGGGAAAGCGCGAACTGAAGGAGCAAAACAAAAAACCCACCCAGGCCTTCCAAGCCCCTCTCAAACCAGATGGAAGCGCGTTCGGCGGCGACTCCGAGGGCGCGAGCAGAAGCCACTTTCAATTCGCGCACCCATTCGCTACTATCCGCAACCGGGTTTAAGGTGGCGCGAACGACTTCTTCCCACACAAAAACCAAGTACCTTCGGAACTCGGGTAGGAAATTGCCTTGGGGGCGCGCCTCCCTAGCAACATACTCCATAACTGCGGGGTCGCTTTCAAAGTCCTCGATGTACGGGCCAAGCTCGCCATCCAAGTGGCGCCGCCAATCTTCCCACTCCGCGCTTTGTGCCGCTCTTTCGGGCGGGACTCCAAATTGGCTTATTGCTTCCACCACGCGCTGCCGCAAAGGCGCAAGCACGGAAAAGTTACCCATAATTAGTTGAAGCACACTCGCGGGGGGTAGATCAGAAAAAAAAGTATGTAAAAGATCTTCGCTTTGGGTGGCTTCTTCGTCGCCCCCCGGCGGCACCTCACCCGATGCGTTTTCTACTTCACCCATGGCTTGCGGCAAGGCATTGGCGGCCCCGTTTTCATTCCCAGTAGAATTGGTATTGTTAGTGTTATAGTTGTCGTTGTTCGGTGCTGTCGTTCCTGTCTCCGCAGGCTGGGCGAAGGAGTTGTTTGTATTTGGAAGAGGCCCGCGCTCAACGTGCAGACTCGCATTGAGCCCAGAAGGTTGCATTCGACTCCGAAACCTTTCCAGGCGTTCGGGGAGTTGTTCGAGGTCCTCCAGCGTGACGTGCACGTGGACGTGCACAGGCGTGGGGGTAAACGTCTCAGGTGTCGGAATAGCATACGAAAAAGAAACGCGATGCTGCTGCTGCTGCTGTGGGCGCCCTTCTGCGGGTTGCTGTGGCTGTGCTCGTTGTTGGGGCTGCTGCGGTTGCGGCGATTGCGAATTTTCTGTGGGAGGGCTCCCCATTCCACCCCCCACAATTCCACCCTGGAACATCACTGGGGTCCGCCCAGTCGTTTGCCCCACCAAGCCTGAGAGCGAGTGCTGGATTAGGCCTAAAAGAGGATCCGGGATTCCCCGCCAGACGGCCGCAAGCTCAGGCAAATTTCCAGCGGAAGCTCCGCCTTGCTCATAATTGTTGTTGCTGCTGCTGTTTCCTGCTGAGGGCCCTGATGGAAGAATCGGGCCGGTAATGGGTACGACGTGAATCGTCGTGCCCTCCTGAAGGAAAGAACTCAGCGGCCGGGAGTCGTCAATTAGGTGCCCCATGTGGATGAGTCGCAGCCGCTCCGGCACAGCGCCGATCCGCTCCGCAATGTCACGCCGAAGCCCCTCGGCGCCGGCCTCGACGTTCACCTCGAGGCCGCTGATCGCGTGCTCCGGTCGCAACCCTGCGACATTAATCCGCATGCTCCCTGTCTTTGCTGCGTTGCCCCTCTTTTTCCTGTTGCTTCTTTGTGTGCTGGTTGGTTTCGTTTCGGCCACGTTCCTTTGCTTGCCAGGTTGGCGCAAACAGGTGGAGGGGGAAGAAGCATGTACACCGCCAGCAGCGCAGCAACAAGCAACAACAAAATAGTATTATAGTCATTTACGAATACTCTTTCGCGCATTCACCCCACACTACAGCTTGCATCAGTCAAGGTCAAACTCAAACTTTGTCCTTGCCGCACACTCGCGTACGGCCTCAATCTTGGCCGCCACAACATCGTTGCACCAGCCGCACTCCACAAAGAGTCACTCCCCGTCTCGTTCATCATCAATTCACCGAGGTTGAGGTGCTGCATCATGAGCAAGCCGCCGTAATCTGCTGCATGCGTGATCCGCCGCTCCCCCACCGTCAGCCGGTTGACGATGTATCGCCGCTTCAGCGCATCCGGCAAACGGCGGAACTCGTGCAGAGGGGCTTCTTTATCCTCCAGCCAATTCGGGAACAATTCACGATTGTTCCTTCGCATCGATCCCGCCTCAATTTCCATAGCGGCTTGGCACGTTTCATGCATACCCGGCTCGCAGTACACGCGACCAAAAAAGGCGTTTTCCTAGCCTTCTGCGCTGCGGTGTCCTTGCCCCGCCTGCCGCGTCTTCACTGGTACCATGGCTGCTGCTGCTCTGACCACCGCCGTCCCCTTCACACGCCCCCTTCTCCGATGAAGGTGTCGATGTGCAGAGGCGCTTCTTTGCGCACGCTACGGCCCACACTTTCACCTTACCGCGAAGCTCTGGCCCCACGTGCGGGCCGCGCCGCACCACCTTCAAATGAAGTCAACAAGCAAAACACACAACCGTGGCAGCAACAAGAAAGAAAAAAAAAAAAAGGGGGGGGGGGTGGAGAAGAAAACAAGAACAAAGGACAAGGGGGCTGGGCGTAATGCGCCCAGCGCAGCGCAGCATTACTACAGAAAGGCGCCACCAAAAGACACACAAGTAGAAAAAAAAATAATCTATAAAGAGAGAAGTTCTTCTGCTGCTCCCTTTTCAGCTTCTTATAAATCTTTTCCTTTTCTTCATTTGGAAACACGCGTTGTGTTTAATCTATGCATCGTCATTGGTAAGCTTTATCCATGCGAAATGCAACCGTCAAGACTACACCGCGTAGTTCATCCATTAACACCGCATTTGCGGCGGCTTCACCAAACATGACGCGGTTTAAGCGTAACGCCGGCAATTGGCTCTCACAAACGCCGGGCGTGTCACCCCGCTGTTTTCGTTTCCGTCTGGCTTCGGCGTCATCAAGACACTCTTCACAAGACGCCACGCAACAAGTGGCATGATTGGCAAGCCACAAAAATACCTTCGCCTCGTGATTGTCTGTCGTCACTAGCAGAGGTTCTTCCTGTCCTGGGACTCGCTTCCTCCTGGAAGCGTCATTGCCACCATCTACTGCCAAACTTCCTTCCTTTCGCTGCATGTAATGACACCGCTGGAAACGCCAGTACTCCGAACATGGTGACGGACTCCAACAAAGCCCCAGGACGGGTTCATTGTGAAGCAACACCTCCGCCACCTGTTGACCAAGGATGTCAATGACCAACACCCAGGATGGCCATCTTCCCAGCGTGACGGCAGCCATCTGGCCAGACGCACTGATTGCTGCATGGCTTCGCAAGGACTCTTCCAATGCTGTTCCTTGTATCCACTCTCTGCAACTATTAAGCTCTGTAAAAGCGTCGACGTCCCGTTGATAAAACGCTGCTGCGCGTGAACGGGTCACCGGGAGGCCCTCCGCCAGGCTCGGTTCCTTCAGCACCTGTATTTCTCTTAGCTGCAAAGACATAATAACGTCTTCCCGGAAACTAATGCGTCGCAAGGCCAAAACACGATCCTCGTATGCAAGAACGGGACGGCAGGCGTCCGAAAATAGAATGAGGAGCACAGTTCCATTCTTCGAGGAGACCACATGCTTCACACCAGCGGGCTCGTGATGTAATATGTGTGCACCATTGTGTGAGATCAACACCAGTGAACCGTGAATATAATCCACCAACGCAACCCCACACGCAAGTGTGAAGAAGTCCGACACACTCTGCACAAGCCGTCCCGTCGGAAAGGCATGCAACTCCTCATGTGTCGTAGCCGAGAGGACGACAAGCCACTCACTGCGTTGGGAATGGGAATTCGCGTTCTTGTCATCATCACCCTCCACCCGTGAAAAAGATATGGTTGCGACGCCACCACTACAAACTCCAAGCGCTGGCGCCGTCTGTTCCTCCTCCCGGTTTCTTGGCAGCGGTGAATGGAGTAGTCTGGGTGTCACGTAGAGCAAAAATCGATGGCACTTAGAAAAACGAATCAAAGCGGCCTCGCTCACAGGGTCACTTCTCTTAAGGAGAAATGAGGAGGTGGGCTCGCTGCAGACGGCGAGCCTCGACGACTGCCTTCTTGCCGCAAGCTGGGCTGAATACTTTACACCCCCCGCAAGGCGCATCACCTGACTGTCCACAAGGGAGAGAACATGCCCCTGCAGCAATCCCAACCAATACACTGCGCGCGACGATGGATGCCATTGCACTGCGCGCAGACCCAAAATTCCAGCATCAATGCGAGCCACACAACACTTGCCGTAAACACTCACAATTTCCACAGTTTTCCTTCGTGACAGGAGCAGCGTCACAAGTGTGCTGTCTGGTGACCATTGCAGCTCATCGATCTCATCAAGGGCTGTGTAGGTGGAAATGACTGCATCACTTCGATATGGCGTCGATGAGTCCGCAGCCTCAGGAAGAGGCGCAACAGATTCGCTGCCTGCAGGAGCGTAATTCTCTATCCCACTTGCACGCCTAATGTGATCCATAAACACAACAACTATGCCTTTTTGTACAAGGGCGCATATGCCCTGATTTGGCGATAAAGCACATAGTCCGCCCTCATCGGAGGCCAGGACCTGCATGGATCACTTCCAACGACTGCTGTGGTTACAATCAGCACCCACAAATTACTTTTTCTCTACCAGTTCCCTCGCTTTGCCTCACCTCACTCACCCAACAGCGCTATGTATGAATAGGAATAATATCTTTCTTCTTCCTCTTTCCTATTTATTTATTTTTTCCTTCTGCCCTAACTCCTCACATCACCATGCGCTGGCGCACAAATAAAAAGGCGGCGAACAACAATTGCAACAAGAACAAAAAAAAACAACAACGATCGACACCATCACTGAACAAAGCAAGTAGTACATTAGAATTATATATATATATATATATATATATATATATATATATATG